ATGTGTGTGGGTACGCCAGAAGAATTTTTTTATGAATGATAATGGAATGAAGCACTTGCCTGCGCTAACGGTAATGTGGATTGGTAACCCCATTGCTAGTAATGTACTCTGTCAGGTTGACCTCCACGCGGTTCTCCCTGGAAACCATCTTGATAAATTCTTGATAAATATTTATTATGTGTATTAAGTATCTATTTAAAAGAAATATACATATTATGTATTTGTATCATTTGTCTAGAACCCATAACACAAGCTAAATAGAGTTAAAATTGGACAATTGCACAGAGCATCCAGAATCTAGACCCAAGTTAAGCTTGCCAAACTTTGTGTTATCGGCACTAAATAACTGATACAAATACATACATGTTATCATACTCACGAATACGCCGTACGAGGAATCGAACCCGTGACCATCGGAAGTAAAGCGATGTACTAAACCGCTAGACAACGAGGGCGTCAATGAAATATTTAAATGCATAATTGTTGTAATTGTATATAATAGTTTGCGCGAATGATCATGCTTCTATGTTCCTTATCATTAAAAAAAATACATTTCAAGTTTAACGTACAGTTTTTATTTTAAATAGTTAATTGAACTTTAACATTAGTCGTTATTTATGTTAAAATTACATGGTTGTTGTTTAATTGCACAATTCGGTCTTTTTGATGTTATTTAATAGTATCTAGTTTTTAATAAAATGATAATTTTTAAGTAAAGTTTTTTAATAGTTTTATTAATCTTGTATGACCTTTATATGTGTATTAGCTTTTGCACGCGGCTTCACTCGCGTTAATTTATCTCCTTAGGGGTGGAATTTATCAAAATCCTTTCTTAGGGGATGCCTACGTCATAATAGCTTTATGCATGCAAAGTCTCATTCCGATCGGTTTAAATTTGACAAAATTTCATACAAATTTTCATCCCCTATTTTATCCCCTTGGGGGTAAAATTAATCAAAATGCTTTCTTAGCAGATGCCTACGTCATAACATGTATGTATGTTATGTATGCTGTATGCTAAATTTCAGCCCGATCCGTCTAGTGGTTTGGGCTGTGCGTTGATAGATCACTACGTTAGTCACCTTTGAGTTAGATATATACTAGCTTTTGCCAGCGGCTTCTCTCGCGTTAATTTATCCCCTTAGGGGTAAAATTTATCAAAATCCTTTCTTAGGGGGTGCCTACGTCATAGGAGCTTTATGCATGCAAAGTCTCAGGCCGATCGGTTTAAAATTGACAACGTTTCATACAAATTTTCATCCCCTATTTTATCCCCTTGGGGGCAGAATTAATCAAAATCCTTTCTTAACGGATGCCTACGTCATAACATCTACCTGCATGCTAAATTTCAGTCCGATCCGTCCAGTGGTTTGGGCTGTGCGTTGATAGATCACTACGTCAGTCACCTCTGAGTCATATATATATGTGTATTAGGGTCAGGTTTCTGTTGCACTTGCCATGTACCTGGCAATATGATGAAGCCACTATGAAACCAGTTAATCGGTATACCAATCTTAATAATATTATAAACATGAAAGTTTGTGAGTATGGATATTTGTTACTCATTCACGCAAAAACTACTGAACGGATTTTGATGAGACTTTACATTAATATAGCTTATGCATCAGAATAACTCATAGAATGTTGAAATTAAACGCAGGTGAAATCGCGGGCACAGCTAGTTTAATAATAGTAACCCTGGGTAATCCACACAGCGCCATCTAGTCCCAAGCTAAGCAGAGCTTATGTTATGATAACTAATATAAATAATTTCATTTTTATTTGTAAATACATATAATATAAATATAAAAAGAGTAATTAAAAAAAATGTCTGTCTGTCAGTCTGTTTGTTCTCATTAATCTCTGAACTGGCTGGACTGATTTTGATGAATGTATTGGAAATCTGTTAATTTACAAACAGACACTTCAATTTTATTTATTTGTACAGTTATATTTATCGCCGGAAAGTTAGTCAGAAATATAAAATTATACTTCATGATCTTTTTTATCGTAGACCAGTTTCGAACTAGTTTACTTTAGCAGAGATAGAACATTACCCGCTAGTACACGACGGTAAAACGTGGGATTATATATGTCTAAATAAATATTAAAATATTAGTGTATTTCGACTAATTCAACAAAATATGTATAGTAAATAAGTAACTTTAAACATTACGTATCCGGTGCTTGTCAAATAAATACGCATACCTGTCATCCGGTGACCAGAGACAATAGCCATCATCAACATACCAAAGACAGCGGCCTGTCTACTCTAATCTTACTTATTATATAACACTAGTTTTAACTTGCGTCTGTTTCTGCATTAGTAATATCAAAATATAATAATAATGATATACAGAAAGATGCAACACCGTAGCAAAGCAGGTGAACATTTAGCATTTAAGTATAGTACAAACTCATAGATAAAATAGAACCATACAAAAATTAAAACTAAAAAATATATTGGAAAATGAAACTGTTAAATTATTCTGAGACAGATCAACATATGTATAACAATACACCCGATATCACAATTAACTTAAAAGGACATACCTATAGTAAGATATTTAATAGACATAGCAATACCGAATACAAATAATGTAAAACAAAACATGTAGAAAAATTACAAAAGTATTTTCTGTTAACAAAAGACATAAAGCAAACGTGGCATCAAAATACAGCTAAAATAATAATAATAATATTATCATCTACAGGAACTATTCCTAATACACTACATAAAGCAATAGAAGATCTGAAATTAAATAAACTAATCTACGTTCCACTACAGAAGGCTGTTATTTGGCTGTTACATGTGCAATAGTCCGTTGCTTCCTAAATGCTACAACAGAATAAAAATGAAAATTATCACGCAAAATAAAGTAACGAGAGATTTGTTATTATTATGTCCCGTTCTCGGTACTAATCACCAGCTTAAGCTTAAGCTTAGCTGTGAAAAAGAGAAAATAATAATAATATCAAACACCTATTGCAAATCCCCTTCTCTACAATAGAACTATTACAAAAAGCAGTCTTTCTTAACACATGCCGTATTGTAAGGAAATATCTTTCGTCATCACTTTTCTCATCCTAATATAACTTTTAAACTCATCCACGCTTGTCTAAGGCCCGTGGTTTTAAACGTATTACCCACGTAAAAAGGGAGATTTGAAAAAATATATGAAATAACTAGATGTCCAGGCAAACGTTTTGCCATATAAAAAATAGGGGTTGGTGATAAAAGGTTGAAAATTTAGGGTTGTATGTATTTTTAAAATAGAAATATAAAATTTGGCCCAAAATATTAAAAAACAATGTTAGGGGTGGACAACCCTTATCACTTAGGGGTATGAAAAATAGATAGTAGCCGATTCTCAGACCTACTGAATATGTATATAAAATTTCATAAAAATTGGTCAAGCCATTTCAGAGGAGGATGGTAACTAACATTGTGACTCGAAATTTTTATATATAACATAATAATACTTGTCAAATGTAGGTATAGAAATAGAAATAGAAATAGAAATAGAAATGCAATGCAATGCATTGCTGCAATTTATGTTTAATCAAATAATATTATGTCATCATATTAATATCATTGTATCAGTCAGGAAATCACTAACCGTATAGTAAGTTTTATCAATTAGTATATTTCTAAGAGCTGTCTTAAATTGATGAATATAACCAATAGATTTTTATGCCCTTAGAAGATTATTAGATTCTAGATCCCATTCCTAAAATACTATCACATGACAAAGCAGTTTTAGCTGGAAAGTTACACAAATTATCATTATTACGTATACCTTTGATGTTATTAAGAAGTTCAAGGTTAGTCTTAATAAAAGTAAATACTATTAATATATTATTTTTCATAATTCTAATAGTCTAATTTATCATTTATAAATTACTTATTAGTACTGTCAGCTGCAAATAAAATCATTAGATGATTAACAGCCTTCGGTAGATCATTTATGTATATATTGAATAGTAGCGGACCTAGTACACTACCTTGAGGAACACCATGTCGTATGTATTGCAATTTTGAGGTGTAGATAGTCTCATTATTACTTTTTACACATATTCTACTAATCTGTGTTACCTGTTACCTATTAAATAGATACGATTCTAGTAATGATAATACATATTTATGAGTATATATATATATACATATAAGAAATATTTTGTTTTGATTTGTTATTACATATATATGTACTGATTATTATTAGTACAGATTATATAATTTTGTTAAAATAACATTTCTTTATTACTACTTTCTTAATTTCGGTAATTTATTACATATTTTTATAAGATAATTTCATAATCAAAATCAAAATATCTTTAGTCATGTAAGTCTATTATATACTCTTATGATAAAACGTCAAACCTAACGCCAGTTCGAAGTGCTCTCAAGCTAAGAAGAACTGAGAGAAAACTTAGCACTTATTCTTTACAAATGAGCTTGTACATGATTAGAGAAATATAGATTCATTTTTAAATTCAATTTAGAAGAGAGAATATTCTGTCCGCCAGCATATCCTATTGCATTTTTGTCAAAAAGAAATAATTACATCAGTGGCCGTAATCCGAGCATAATATCAAAAATGAGAAAAAAATTACTTATATATATAAGTAGCCCGGAAAACTGTATATGTAGTACAGAGAGTTATAATAAAAACGGTCACAAGAGGCCGAAAGGTCCTATCTTAATAAATAATAAGCGAACCACCTGTTGAGAACCTCTGATGTACATATATAATCTCGAAGCAACGCACTACTCGCTTCATTTCAGTTAAACATCTATCATAAGTTACTTTTTACATATAAAAGTATTTTTACCAAATTTATTTATTATTGATAAATCATATTAAAGAAATTCTTATACTTATATAATAATAAATATATTTTATTAAATTAAAAGGATGTAAATATTAATTAATTAAAATTTGTTTACAAATTGTGATTAACTTTTATTTAACTGTATTTTTTGTGTTAATAAAATAATAATGCTGTGGCAGATATGTTTTATACTTTTAATAATATACTATTGTGTATTGCGTTGGAAAAATAGGGATATAATAAAGTTGTCCAAACAATTACCATTTACGAATGAATACAGATGCCTCCCATTTATTGGACACGCGTGGCTATTCATCAGACGAGGAAAAGGTAAGAAAGGTTTAATTAATTTATATTTTATAAGTATATATGAACCGAATTTGACAGGTTTATGTGAAAGAGTTTTTGAGTTATGAGGGGGTCAAAAGTGGCTCCAAATGGTTCGTGTAAAACTACACACGGTGCTGCTCGCCAGTTCTCTTACTTGAACTCGGCTTGACACGCTGCCGCGTGTCTAGATATTTAACAGATAAGAAATTATATTCTAAAAGGCAAGTAAGATAAGGCAGGAAATTACATTCAAGAAATTTATTTATTACAAATTATATTTATTCATTAGAAAACGAACAATTTATAATTCATTACATAAAATCAACAGTATGTACATTTCTAGAAAAAGCCGATAACAAGTTATCAGAGACTTAGCAAAAGAAAGAAGCAAGATGTCGTGATAAACAAAATAAAGATTACATGTAAAATTTTACTCATTTAATGCAACCTAGAGCATAAATTACATTATACACAGCTAAACTTAATAGTTTAGCTAGTACAATAATATAACATTAATATTAAAATTTTCTTGGATAATTTGTTTATTCAATAATGTTAAGGTAATGAGTATAATTTTATCTAATGTTACCGCTAATGCAGAATGCATAATTATCATATCAGCATTCATATAAATATTGTATACAGTGGACCCACCATTATCCGACAAACGTTTTGCAGGGCAGTGTCGGACCATCGAATTTGACGGATTATAGAGTGCTGCCTAAGGGTCCCCTATAGTCCGGAATTTTTTAGTAAAGAGTATCTTGTAATTCGACAAATTACAGACCCAGTGATAAGATTCTATGTTATATACATATATATGTATGTATGTAGGTAGGTATATGCACTCTGAACTATATTGTCAAAAAAATATTCAGTAGTAAATAATAGACCATGGCGGATTACAAGGGGGGCCGGATAAGACAGGGGCCGGATTACCGCGGGTCCACTGTATATAATTAAATTTAATTAAACAACTTCACAAATAAAATATAAATTTGTCTAAAAAATCGGGCTAAATATAATACAATAATTAAACTTTGTTTATTGTTTTTAAAATTAAGTTTTAATTAGTTACTTTATTTTTGACATTCTCTTTTCTTAGAATAATTAGTTGCACTTCTGCACCACGCTGTTTTGGGTTGACTGGAAGAGATCTCTTTCTGAAAGTAGGAACCTGTGCCAACGATATTTCTTTCAATTATGTAATATACACATTTGTATATAAATCTTTATTTCTTTCAGATCCAATGGATACATTCAAACTTTTAGCAGATGTAGCACAGAAACGCAACGGCATCACAAGCTTTTGGTTTGGAAATAATTTGTATACTAGTAAGAATTTTTATATTATAAATTCAAAAGTGTCTCCATATGTCTGTCTATTATATCTTACTATTTCATGACTAAATATGTAGAATATATGTACATACATATATATTCTTGGTATTTATTTAATAGATATATTAATGTGTGTGCAACTATACAATAGTTTTCAGTACATATTTTCTTTCTTTCTTCACATATCTGAATCAAATTTGACATTCTCGTAGATTGAACACTAGCATGAACTAGATTATCCTGTCTAAAAATATACAGATAAGATGGCCGGAGAAAATAAAGAAAATTAATTATAAAAAGAAAATACCTTGTATTAAAGTAATTATTTTACATTCCAGTTTTAACAGATCCATTCGCAGCAGAGAAAGTGCTGAAGACCAGTCTCGAGAAACATGAGCTGATGCAACTTGCGAGACCACTGATTGGAAATGGCAGCATATTTGCGCCAGGTAAGAAAAAAAAATCATGTAATAATAATGAAAGAACATCTTATTATAATATCTTCCTAAATAAACGTACTCTGAATAAAATGCACGGTGCAAACATTTGTATTCATGAGTATGATAACATCCAGACCAATGCAAACGGTCTGGATGTTACCTATATTTATTATGTACCTGTGCCCGCTTACACACATGAAATATAGCCTATGTGTTAATCTGATGTATAAGCTATATTACTGTAAAGTTACGTCAAAATCCGTTCAGTAGATTTTGCGTAAAAGACCATGAATCTATCCGCTTATCCGCGTAAACTTTCGCATTTATAATATTAATAATAAATGTATTTACAAAAGTAAACAAATGGCGGAAAGTGGTCAAAACTATACATTCAAGCTATATTTGATATCTATACGTTGCCTGATGATGCCTCGAGAAGCGAAACACGTGTCGATCGGAATATGAGATTTACGAACGGTCAGAAAATTATTAATAACTAGCTACGCCCGTGACTTCGTCCGGGTAAAATGACAATACTTCCATATAACCTTTCATATCCCCCTTCAAAACCTTACAAATCTTTATTTGCATTAAAAAGTAGCCTATGTCTTTTGTCAGGGTCTAGACTATCTGTGTACCAAATTTCATATAAATCGGTTCAGTGGTTTCAGCGTGAAAGCGAGACATGCAGACAGACAGAGTTACTTTCGCATTTATAGTATTAGTATGTAATATTATGTTATCTGTACTAAAAATATTTTAGATTTTAGCCGAATAGGTATAAAAATTTACAATAAGATACCAAAGGATATATTGCAATTACCCTTAAATAAATTCAAAACATCTGTTACTGAGCAAAGACTATTACTCACTAAATGATTACTTGAATGACGAGCGTGCATGGCTATAGTTCTTCATGCACTGGATTTTCATTTAATGTTAGACATAGACACCTATGTAAATATACATTGAGTTTCTTGCCAGCTCTTCTCAATTGGATCTATATACTGAACTGGACTGTAGGGAAAAAAATAATTTTGACGTTCATAAGCGGCTAAAATGTCTGCATGAATAAATTATTTTTTAATTTGAATTTGACTTAAATACGGTACTAAAATAAGAGTAATAAAAGAAGAGTAAAAGATGAGTATGTTTAAATATGACGACCGATAGAGAGCAGTGGAAGAGAATGACATACTGCGCCGACCACAAATAATGGGATAAAGGCAAGGCAATGATGATGATGATGACGGTGCTATAGATGTACAATTTATTCTGCAGAATAGATAGGAAAAATGTTAGAAATTATAAACTCTAAATGAATGTGTGACATGTTAGAGAGTGACTGTCTGTATAGCTTACATAGTTTAGTCTTATAAACTATGAAGTTGTCTCTGTACCACTAAGACAGATTTTTGGTAAAGCCGAAAACTGATTGTCGTAATTTCTTGCTCTCTGGCTCCTTAATGTACTTTGTGTGTTCTGTCGAAATAAAATCATTTCAGGTATAAGTTTTCTTTAATTACTCCTAATTTTTTAGACTTATTCTATAATAGTTGGACGACTAGACGACGACTTCTCATAGTTTTATTTTTTTATTTTAGTCTATGAATTATGATGAATAGAAGGAACAATATATTAAAGACAAAGAGCACAGACATCTAATGGTGGTTACTTTGAAGACCTGAAAAATCCGGGGTATTTTGGACGAGTTACTTTTCTTTCTTACTGGTCTCACCTCAATTATTGCATTTCCCAACTCCAACCTTTTGGGAAAGGCTTAAAAATAATTTTCAGACTTTAAAATAATATATAATTCAAAATGCATATTCCAATACAATTACGGTGTGTTTTTAAACTTAAAGTTATTGATATCAATCTTATTTATTTATTTACTCTTTGCACCAGAAGTATATTACAAAGAACATAAGTACATAATAACTAAAAAGGCTCAAAAGGCGGTCTTATCGCATAAGCAATCTCTTCCAGACAACCTTTGGGGAGAGGAGAGAAGATAGAAAGTGGTAGATGGCTCAGGAAAGGTCCAGAAAATTAAAAAAGCGTGTGTGCTTGGTTTCTCTTTTATCTCATTGCTTACTTCATATTTCTTGTTACGTGCGTACCGGTTGAGCATAGCAATGCAATGACCATAGTAATACTAAAAAGTAAATAATAATAATTCACATATACTACTTACAATACATTTCATATATACTAATACATATATATACATACATATTATATGTAAATACACAATACACAAGAGTGTCAAGTACCGATTAATTATGTTACACGCAATTTGGAGAAAGCCGAGTGAATGAAGGATGAATGTGATGATGATGATGATGATGATGATGATGATGATGAAAAAATATGAGAAGTGTAGCTCTTAATTAAAAAAAATCGTAAACAGAACAAAATTTCAATATTAGTCGATAAGGTCGACAGTTGACGATACCTCTGACTACCTCTTTTAAGACTATAAAGGTATATTGATTAAAATATAATAAGTAACTAGTTTTAGTAATTTAATAATTTAACTTTTGTAGTATTCATATGGCGACCACGTCGCAAAGTCCTCGCTCCGACCTTCGGACAGAAAACTCTGAACAACTTCGTGACGGTATTCTACAAACAAAGTGTAATTCTAGTAAACAAGTTACAATCCATGGCAGAAAAGGACAAGTTCTCAGTGTTTAATTATATTTCTACATACTCCATGGATTCAATATGTGGTAAGTCAACCGACTTTTTTTATTATTGTGTCGAAAAATCTCGAAAATATTGACCCCGCCAGAGGTGTGTAAGATTGTTATCCATTAAAAAATTGCACGGTATTCCTACTAACGCCATTGTCGGAGTTGCGAGGTCATGTTACTATTTACCGTGAATTCGACGGGAAAGACTAATATTAATATTAATAAAGACAATATTTGTAAGGATGTTAGTTTGTTACTCAAACACAAAAAGCACTGGGAAATTCCGACTGAAATTTGTTATAGAAATAAAATACTTTTGTCAAATTTGACACGATCCTTAATTATATGTAAAATCACGGGATCTTCTCTTCGGGACGGGTCCTTTTTTTAAGTTTTATTTAGACAGTGTTACAAGCACCACAAGTAAACTGAGCTGCGGATAATTAATTAGACTACTAGAAATATAAACTATATTGATGACATCTCATTCCTGCGGAATGGCAACTCGTGAAGATCACGGTCTTCAAATAATCACGTGATATCCGTGGTGGTGTTGGTAGTGGTGGTCCGTGTTCATGTATATAGGCGATGGTTAACATAGTCACATTCGTCATTTCAACTACATAAAACTTAGACTATATACGGAAAATATATTTAAAGACTACACTTTGGTTTTTAGAGACAACTATGGGTGTAAATATAAACGCACAAAGTAACACAAATCACCCAGTACTGAAGGCATTCAATGGATTCTGCCAGATATACGCCGCTCGGTCCGTAAGACCATGGCTACATTCGACAGCAGTTTATAGATGGATGCCTAATTATTCCACTTATCTTGGACACTCTCAACTACTAAACAATTTTGTGGATAAGGTAATCTATATATTTATGCATTACATTCTATTTTACACCATTTTACAGCAGGTTCACAGCAGATCAACACCATTTGCCATCGAATTCACCACCTAAGTGGTCTCTCCCAGTGCGGTTTCAGAGGGTCTTCCTCCTAGATATTTGTTTTTTGTAAATACATACTATACTGTACTATACAATACTTAATAGGCATGTATAATGCAAATAAAATCACATTTATATACATTTTTAACTCTTAATTAGATAAATTAAGATTTACAAAATGTACATAAAATTTTTCAATTCTATAATTTAAGCGAAATAATATAACTGCAAGTTTCATGTTTTTGCAGATTGTTAAAACGAAAAGCCAAGAAATAAAAAATGGTGGAAACAACAACATCCAAACTGGTGATGACAGTAAGTATGCAGTTAATATTTTTTTAGTACTATTAATACTTATTGGTTGTAGTAATGACATAGTAAAGCATAGTCAAGCAGATGACCTATTTGATAGAAAGTTGTAAATTTGTAATCGTCGTCTATACATGAGCTCTACGAATTTGCAACTCATTGCCGTTAAAATAGATGTGTTCTAGAGTGGAGACCGTGAATTGGCAAAACAGCGTAGGATAATCTCTAGTTAGGGTTTCAATCCACTAGGCTTTAAAAGAAGCCTGTGTCCTGCAATGGGTTGACAATCATGATGATTTACGTGAAGAGGATCACGAATGTCATATATAGTTACATAATATATAGAAGACCACTTTGTGCAAAGTTATTATTAAAGTCTAAATTATAATAACACGAATTGCTGCCTTTACACATACGAACTGTCACGTGTGAATCGGCTTTCAAGCAGGAAAGAATGAGCGTTTAAATCTAGACAAGACAATCAATCGTGTGTGCTATAGCGCCCTTTTTTTAGTCTTTGAAAAATAGAATCTGTGGATTTAATTTTTTTTTAATAAATTTAAATGTTTTTAAAATACCCATAAACACGAAAGAGTGAACACAAAAAATAATGAAATTCAATCACTCGCGCGCTAGCATACTGCAAGCGCTGATTTTCCCTTCTTGATCACACCTGAAAGTATGTGTCGTGTAAGGCAGCTAATGTTTTGATTCCATATTGAATAGAGAAGACAAGAACATTTCTGGAGCTGTTGATTGAGTCATCGCGAGACAATGGCTACACTGATGTGGAGTTACGAGAGGAGACACTAGTGATGGTGCTCGCTGGTACCGACACCTCCGCTGTGGGAGCATCCTTCGTTCTACTGCTACTAGCCCGATATCCCGATATTCAAGATAAAGTACTTCAAGAGTATGAATATTACTATATAAATACAATAGCATACTTTGATGGTAATTGGCCTCGGTGGTCTAGCCGTTTGTATACGCTTACCTGTTATGGTCGCGGGTTCGATATCGCAAGATAAGAATATTTGTATTCATCTGTATGATTGTTTGTATTGGTCTGGGTGTATTTCATGTATATTGTGTATGTCTTTACAATAAAAATAAAAAGTATATCAGTTGTTTAGTACACATAACACAATCTCTGTATGCTTAGGACTAGATAGGCATGTGTGAACTGTCTAGGGTTATTCTTATATCTGTATAATTTTTTTTTATTCATTTTTATTTGTTCCAAATATAGATAAAACAAAATATCCAGACTCGGAACTCGGGTCCGCTAATTGTAATTAAATCATATACAATTATTTATGTTCCTTCCAAATAATATAATATGTATATATATTTTATGTAGTATACTTAGTTCATTTTTATTTGCATCATGTTTACTATTATCATACAGGTAATATGTCAGGTATATCACAATTGGAATTTGTCAAGTTAGTCACGTTCAAGAACATGAATTCTGTAACGCCTGATATATTATTGCAAGCAATTTTGTGTTAACTAACAGTTTGTTTTTAGAATCGAGCAGGTATGTGGCCACTCAGACAATCCAATTCGAGCGGAACATTTGCCAAGTCTCAAATATTTTGATGCTGTTATCAAGGAAACATTGAGATTGTATCCACCAGTACCTATTATCGTGAGAAAAATGGAAACGCCTACGGTTTTACGTCAGTATAAATAAAGTCTATATTTGCATAACCAGATCAAACTACTTATAACATAAATTATATTTATACATATACAGACTTACTCTAATATAAGCCAATTGCCTAATATTTGTCTAGACTATGTTTTTTTGTAATGTAATGGAATGTTACACCCGCTTGCAGTAACGCTGGCGGGGCACCAGAGGAGGATGATGAGATGAGTATGAGGTCAAGTTAGTTAGCCCATCATGACAAATTCACTAGGCATTTATAACGATGATTTTCAGGGGGAACTGCGTGGAGGTCAATCTGGCATACGTTTCTAACAATGGGACTAATTCAAAAGTAATACTGAAAACTCCTTCTTTCCAGTATTACTTCAACTAGTAAATAAGAATCTCAATGATAAACTGGGGAAACGCCTACAATAATCAGTGACACTCTTGTTATACCCATGTATTATCAACTACAGACAACGTTTAAATTAGAAATAAAACTACTAAATTACTAAATATTCAATCTTTGGGGGAACGCCTACAATAATCAGTGACACTCTTGTTATACCCATGTATTATCAACTACAGACAACGTTTAAATTAGAAATAAAACTACTAAATTACTAAATATTCAATCTTTGGGGGAACGCCTACAATAATCAGTGACACTCTTGTTATACCCATGTATTATCAACTACAGACAACGTTTAAATTAGAAATAAAACTACTAAATTACTAAATATTCAATCTTTGGGGGAACGCCTACAATAATCAGTGACACTCTTGTTATACCCATGTATTATCAACTACAGACAACGTTTAAATTAGAAATAAAACTACAAAATTACTAAATATTCAATCTTTTACAGCGTCTGGACTGACATTGGTACCAGGAATAGGGGTTGTCATAAATATTTGGGGAATGCATCGCAATCCAGCCATTTGGGGGCCTGATGCTGATGAATTTAGACCTGAACGCTTCATTGAGGATACTTTAAAACACCCAGCAGCCTATATGCCCTTTAGTTACGGGCCTAGAAACTGTCTAGGTTAGTGTTTCCATTATTTTTCTAATTCTGTTTTCCATTATAATATTCTGATATCTTGCGTACTAAATATTTTTTAAAGATTTTAATAATAGCATTGAAAGAAAGAAAGAAAGAAAGAAAGAAAAACATTTATTGTCAACCATTTTTACATATACATATATACATACATACATACACACTTAGAACAATTACAATAATAATTTATCTTATATTATTTCTAAATATGGTTGGCAACATGGCTGACACTCAGCATATGCCGTGACAGCTAACTGTCACGGCGCTGGTATTCTGTGCCTGCCATTAGTGACAACACGTACAGCTCGATGTCAGTTTTTTGACCTTTGACATCTGTCAGATGTCATTGTCATTGCTTACTTTTATTCCATTTTTAATCTACTATAATGGTATGGTGCATCCGCTTGCACTAACGGTATACGCTGGCGGGGCACCAGTGAATAATAATTGAAAGAGCATGAAATCAGGTGAGTTAGCCTACGTTGCTTTACCAAAAATGAACGTTGATAGTTTCCAGGGGCGACCGCGTGGAGGACGATCTAATGTGGTTTATTGCTAGCAATATGGCCATTACTAGGAATCCCTCCCCACTTTTACCTTATAATTCCTAAGTTTCATATTTAGAATCATTATAAATCTATATAAAAATGAATTGCTGATCATTAGTCATGCTAAAACTCGAGAACGGCTGAACCGATTTGGCTTATATTAATCTTGAATTATTCGTGGAAGTCCAGGGAAGTTTTAACGGTGATAGAATATTGTGATGATAGGAGCGATGGTGCGAGTAAACACACACAGTAGGGTGTAACTTGTATATTAACTGTTACATCTTGAATTACTCTAGCTTACACTAATTACATAAACTATATATATGAAGTACTGCGTCACCTACGTGTCGTTATACAAAACGTACACTGGCACAATCTACTATCGAACATGCTGATTTGCATCACTATATCACAATATAAAGAAATTCCATGTAAAATAGTAAAAAGAACAATTATATTTCCCATGCAAACGGCTGATAACGATAAACAACGACTGAATTTCAAAAAACTTTTGACATATTTAATTTTGTGGCGAAATATTAAACAAATATTGGCTCTATAGTATAATATAAAAAAGATTTTTTAGTGTTTTCACGCTGACGCGTTTCTACAAACACAATCTTAGTTTAAAAATTATAATAGACATTATAATTACAGGATATCAATACGCTATGATGTCAATGAAAACAGTTTTAGCATCTGTGGTGAGAAACTTTCGCATCCTACCAGCGGAAGATTGGGAATTAAACTCTTGCAAGAATAAAGCTAACCTTGAGGTGAAATTTGAAGTAATGATGAAACATGCAGATAATTTCCAAATACGATTGAAGAAAAGAACAAATGAATCCACATGAAATTGTACTTAATATTGGGACATATCGCAGTATAGATCTTATACGCTAACTCATAAAGACTAAGATCGTTTCTTGCATTTAAACGTATATAGAATTAAATATTGAATTAAGGACTTGTGTTAATTTTAAACTTTCGTATATACGTTATTTAAATTATTAACCGGGTCTTAACACGAATAATTATATGGCAAATAAAGGTTTTATGGCAACCTAGTCGAAACGTCGACAGAAGTAAATACCATTCGTGTTAAGACCCGGTTAATAATTTAAATAACGTATATTAAACATTTTATATGAAGTATGATATTTTTCATATTAAATTTACTGTTACTGATGTTACTTATCATATTATAATAAAAGTCCCTAAATAAATGTAAGAATAAAAAAAAGTTAATATTGACATTAAAACCACAGATAAATGATAATTGTAAGTATTATTATAATAGTAATAATAGTAAGTATTTTAGTTAGTATATATTTATTGTTGTTAAGCTCACTAATTTTTAAAGTGCAATCCTTAGTTCCTTACTTTCACGCGAAAACTACTAAACCGATTTAAATAATATTTAATAGTCTAGATCCTGAGAAAGGAGATATGCTACATTTTATTGTGAAAACAGGGTTGTAAGGGGTTGAAATAGGAGATGAAAGGATGTATGGATGTATTCTGATTTTTAAAAATAGACGCTGAAACTTATTTTTTCGTCTATTAATTATAAATATATATAACAAGTATATAAGTTTTGCCCCTTAATGGTAAAAGTATGTAAAACATTTACCCTTAAGGGGATACAATATTATCATATTATGATAAAAGATATTATAAAAGATAGAGTTTGTTTGGTAATTCGTCATTTTTGAAGTTAGAACGATGAAAATATTTTCTTTGCCTTTTTGAGTTAGAGATTAAATATTTCTTGCTGTCCAAAGTCACTATGCCGTACTGACGAAGTTGCAGTCACAGCTAGTACACAATAAATAAAACTATATTTTATATAAACGCTAGCTGTTCCGGCAAACGCTGTTTTGCCTTAAAATAAAATAAAAAAATTTAGGGCTGGACTACCCCTAACATTAGGGGGATGAAAAATAGATGTTGACCGATTCTCGGACCTACTCAATACGCTCTCAAAATTTCATGAGAATCGGTCAAGCCGTTTCGGAGGAGTATGGGAACGAAAACTGTGACACGAAAATTTTATACATAATATAATTAAAAAAGTACCAATTTACCACGTTTATTTCTGTGCTAAAACTGACAAAATAAATAGAGCTTTAAGGTACAATGACTTATAAATAACTGACTTTCTATTAGACTATAATTAATAAATATATACCCTGATCAATATAGAGAGCTACTAACGAATACAACTACATGTATTGTGCGAGAATCAAACCCGCGACCATCGAACCGTGAAACAGTACTCTAACCGATACACCACTGTGGTCATCGTGAAACGTTGGGTCAATGAATCTCTCCTTATTGTGCTTTGTTCGTAATGATTTGCTATACAATAAATAACACCAATGAATGCAAAGAGCAAAGTGCAAGCTTTGTTATCAGTTATTTGCTTATAAAGGCACATCGAGTCAGGTCGAGCGTCATTATTATATTAATTAAAACATATTTGTATTTATTTTAATAAATTGACAATGTTGTGGCAATTATTTTTAATAATAATAACACTATGGTTGGGATACGTACGATCGGAAACGTATATATGGAATCGGCACAAGAGGGAATTGTTCAAGAAATTAAATGAGGCCACAAAAATTCTGCCTGTTATTGGAATTAGTCATATATTCCTTGTAAGCGATAAAGGTAAGCAAAATTAAGAATATAGAATAGAATAGAATAGAAAATCATTTATTCAAATAAACTTACATTGAAGCACTTTTGAATAGTCATTACATTTTTTAATCTACCGCTCGTTCGGAAAGCTGTCTCATCACAAGAAGAACGAGCAAAAACTTGTATGTTGCTCTTTTAAATAATTTTATTATTACTTTACATTTTTAAGTTTAAGTGTGTGAATACAAACCACCAATTAGCACTAATTCTATTAAATACTCAAATAGAAAAAAACATTGAATATATAACCCACTGGTTAAACAATTAATAAGAGGAAATCAATCATAGTGATTAGAGCAGACCAGTCCCTACAAGCAGCACCCGTTCACGAGTATGACGGATGAGCCAGCCATCACTGCGCTCGACCATATTTTAGGGAGCCCAATGACCCGGCCCACCACGCCGCCACAAGTCTGGACATTTTAGTGAGCATGACTACTCAAAACACTAGACTACGTCAAAGCTACTTACAATATCTTAAAAGACTAGAAAGTTAATAAAATTACTTTCAAAATACTGTTAATATCAAATGATTTGGGCTAATATTTGGCGCTAAAGAGAACCTGTACCACTGCGACCATATATCTATTGTACTCTCTTTATTTTAGTTTGCTGCCTAGATTACCTAAAAAATGTAAACAAACTGGCTTTTTAAATAAAACGAAATTTAGTTGAGTGACTGCTGGTTCTTCTCAATTGAATCTGTATACTGAACTGGATGGTAAGGAAAATAATATATACTAATTGTACGCGGGACTTCGTTTGCGTGGAATTTTGCAACATTACTTTATTTTGCTAAAAGAAAATATTTTTTCTAAAATAAAAGTAGCCTAAGTTACTCCTTATTACATGAGCTGCCTGCCAATAAAAGTCCCATCAAAATTGGTCTAGCCATTTCAGAGATTAGCCGAAACAAACAGACAGACAGACAAAAATTGTAAAAAATGTTATTTTGGTGTATTCATAGGCATGTAGTAAAAAACGGTTATTTCAATATTTATTTTAAATAAAAAATTTACGTTCACAATCGGCTAAAATATTATATTGTAATCTATACTTATAATAAATCTGTAGAGAGGTCAATTCTGTACATGAAATATATTTCCAAAATCACTATCAGGGTGTGATTTCGATACTGCCCAGAAATGCAAAAGTTTTGTGTCTGTCTGTATGTTCGTTATAGAAACAAAAACTACTCGACGCATTTTAACGAAACTTGTTACAATTATTCTTCATACTCCTGGGCAGGTATACTTTTCATCGCGCTACGATCAATAGGAGCAAAGCATTGAAGGCAAATGTTAGAAAAAACACATCAAAACCACTGAACCGTGAGGAAGGACATACGCTACTTATTTAACGAAAACATAGACAAAGTCGCAGGCAACAGCTAGTGTTATATATTATTTAACACCAATGATTTGTTGATCTCTTAGATCGCATGAAAGGCCTTATGAAAATAGGACGATCAGCAATAAAACATGGGGGCATGGTAATTACATGGCTATAGGTAAGTATAATAGAATAGATAATTTTTATTCTCATAATGGGCAGGGCACATAGCTCGTAGGACAGATGGCCGTTGGGGCAGTAAAGTCCTCGAGTGGCGACCACGGACCGGAAGACGCAGCGTGGGAAGGCCTCCAGCAAGGTGGACCGACGATCTGGTCAAGATCGCTGGAAGGCATTGGATGCGAGCAGCGCAGGACCGATCGTCGTGGAGATCTTTGGGGGAGGCCTATGTCCAGCAGTGGACGTCTTCCGGGCTGCGATGATGATGATGATTCTCATAAACTCAATATGCAAAAGTCCATAAAGATGGCGGTTAACGTTTTGTAAAACTGCCAGACCTGGATGGTCTACCAGTTTAGTATACCGGCTCGAGTACTATTACTAAAGTGTAAATAAAAAAAGAGCATAAATTTGAAGATTGACAAATTTATTTCTTTATCGAAAGTATTAGAAATAAAATAAAATATATTATCCATAACGAGATGGGTATTGGAAAGTGCAAAAGTTCTGGAAAGCTCAAATCTTTAATTTTATTATCATGTAAAAGCTCATTTGAACTGAATAAAAGCTGAGTTTCTAACAATTGACATAACGTAGGAAATGCTTAAATTACGTTTATTTCAATAAAGGATTTTCTCTTCTATTCTATTCTATTCTATTAGGAGATGATCTATCTATACTTCTAATGATTTTTTTTTATTCTGGTGCAGGTTGAAGGCTGTAGTGGGAGATTCCAAGCGGCCAATACTTCCTGATGATTGAAGTATTAGGAAGCTGTGATTAAGGAAACACTTCGATTGTAGTTGTACCCACCAGTTACTGGCTCCGTGAGAAGTGTCGACAAGGAGTTTATTTTACGTTAGTATAAGATTTTAGTAAGAAATAACATTAATATAACAATAAATAATGATGCAAGCAAATACTTATTTCTGAGATATTCATACGAATAATAGATGGTCTCAGTGGTTGGTGGTGGATGCTTTTTGTGGGTTCGATTCCTCGCACGATACAAATATTTGTATTATTGATTGTTTGTAATGCTCTGGCTGTTTTCTATATATGTATATTATTTAGGTATTTACAAAAAATGCATTTAAGTTTTTTTATCAGTTGTCTAGTACCCATAACACAAGCGCTATGTGAATTGTCCTGGGATATTATAATTATTATAGCTGCACCACATAAAGGAATAACAATGTTTAAAAATATTGGTTAAAAATGTCAGTGTACAAAAAGACTCTTATAAAATTTCCTATTTGAATATATGGATCACTAGCAATTTAATTTTATTATTAACAACACAATATTATTATTTTCAATATATTTAGATTGTCTTATTGTTCTTTTTATATATTCGTCAATACAAAAAAAAACATATGTATAGTAACATACGCACAAACTTGACTATGTCATAATCATAAAAAAGTCAATATTAATTATTTATATATAATTATTAGTTAATAAAGTCATAAAAAAGGAGACTAGACATGTCATAGTATCTTTTCATCTCCAAGTACTAGGTAAGAACATAGCAACACACTACCCCACAATGGAATTTATAGAGTTCACGGTTAAAAGCCAATTAAAGATAAAGAAAAACCATGTAGATTCTATCAATGCGGTAAATATTATAAACAAACGAATATGGAACGTAACTGTAGTTCATTGAGACTCGTCCTATAAAATCAAACTGGATTTATTGCACATACGTCAACACAATATTCTTTACCTGTGTATTGCGTGGGTGGACTTCTAAAAGCATTAATAATTCTTCTTCATGGTTAGATTTTCTTTAAAAGGAAAAGAACACAGAATCAATATGGAAAGAGTTATTTTTGTGTTGACATAATTGAATAAAGAATGGTACAGTCGCCTGTATAAAAATACTTTAGCCCGAATCTCTTATTGCTTACAGAGAATAAATACGTTTTGGAGCCGAATGTAACGAGGACAATATATTTATTATTTTGATTATGAAATTAAACAAAAATTATTTTGTAACCTCTAAAAATACAATAACAATTTCTAATAACTTTTATGAAACTGAGTGTACTAAGATCTTTTTAATAATGTTATAAACGGGAAAGTTTGTGAGTGTGGATGGATGTTTGTTACTTTTTCACGCAAAAACTACTGAACGAATTTTGATGAAACTTTACAGTCATATAGCTTATACATCTGAATAACACAAGGACTATAAATTTCACGAGGATGAAATCGCGGGCACAGCTAGTTTTACTATATTATTTTGTGTCTATATATCACAAGAAATTTTAATAATTCTTTTAGAATATCTGATTATACTCCTCTTGGTCCATAAAATCCAATTCTACATATATTTATATATATGTCTTAATTTTGATTTAAGTAATTTTGATTTGAGTAATGCCTTGCTCTAAGAAGATATTGACTTGATACTTATTACAGCATCAGGCGTGAAGTTGGTACCAGGAGTAACTATCATGGTACACATATGGGCCATGCATAGGAATCCACGCTTCTGGGGTCCAGATGCTGATGAATTTCGCCGGAGAGATTCATTGACAGCATACTTGATCACCCGGCTGCGTTCATGCCATTCAGTTATGGCCCTAGAAATTGTTTAGGTACGTATAAATTGTCCAAAGCAGGGATGTTAGGGAGCTCCGTAACCGTAACCGAAACTATCGGATATCCGATATAAAAAATATCCGTAACCATAACCGAATCCGAAATAAGAGTTTCAGATAATATCGGATAGGGACGGAGCCTAATTGAGACACGTTATGTAACCATTTTATTGGCTATTTGTATTTTCCTTTTGAAATCCTTAAAAAATAAATATCCTTAACCGAAATTATCCGAAACTAATGGATGATCGGAAATAATTTAATATCCGCATCCGTATCCGTATCCGGTATAATAATCATTCCTATATCCAAAACCTATCCGTATCCGAAATTTCATATTCATAACATCCCTGGTCCAAAGCATATGTACATGCATAAATGAAATATCTCCTTTGGAAAGTATGCACTCTATCCTGAGGAGATAAAAACCATCGCTCCTAAGAATATCCTTCAACTCTTGTCCCTGACGGGTAACTTATGAAAAGGGGCGAGCACAATAGATCTATGTAGGTTGCAGTGCTACATCAGGTCTAACACACACGAGTGCACCATACCATTATCATCCATATAAAAAACCTGACAATTGCCCAAAACTATAAATTAAAGAAGCATATTTAACACCTCTCTATTTGCACACCGTAGTGATGTGAGAATGATTTTGTTATTCGCTAATATTGCAGTTGAATACGAAAATTAACGCTTACTATCTCTGCGGCTCTCCCTTGAATATGGTTTAAAAGTACTACGGTTTTTAGTATTAATCTTACTAATATTATATACGCAAAATTTTGTGAGTATGGATGGATAGATGAATAAATGGATGTTTGTTACTCTTACACGCAAAAACTGCTGAACGGATTTTGATGACACTTTACAGTAATATACCTCACACATCAGAATAACAGATAGGCTACAAATATCATGCGATGGATAGATGGATGAATGGATGAACGTTTGTTACTCTTTCACGCAAAAACTACTAAACGGATTTTGGTAGAATTTTACAATAATATAAGTTATATGACAATAATGCATAGGCTACAATTTAAAAAGATATAAATGTAAATTGGGCGAAATATAATGATAAATGTCAAATAAGAGTGAGACAGACGTTGCGCGGGTCAGTATCAATATATTCTGTTATTCGCCGGTACGCATCAACCAGTGCCTTTATCAGCTTCAACCGGCCTTCCCGAGGGTGGTGCATCTTCGACATCAAAATTTCCGGATCGAAATTTAACGAACCAGTTCTAGCACTGGCGTACTGTTAACACATCTTCTCCACACACATCGGTCAATTTCTTTCTGGCTTGAACAGCATTTTTGCCCTTTCTGTAGTAAAACAGTAAGATATGTCAAAAATGCTGCTTATTCCTCTCCATATTTAAAAGGGCACCAACCAAAAACTACTGCGTAGAATTAATTGTAATTTTTCACACACAAGCCTTGCTATATGAGCTCTCAAAGCATATAAAAATTATACGGCTTAAGTGTGGAGTTGAGTGCAAAAAATGCAATTAAATCCTAAGTTAGGAAAAAACGAAATTATTTTCCGAACAACCTAATAGATATTTGTTGATGATTTGTTTAATATAATTTATTATTTTTAGGTGGACAATATGCTATGATGTCTATGAAGACGGTAATCGCCAACTTAGTACAACAATACCGCATATTACCATCAGATAATATACAAATAATATTGGATGCGAGCAGCGCAGGACCGATCGTCGTGGAGAAGGCCTATGTCCAGCAGTGGACGTCTTCCGGGCTGCGATGATGATGATGATGATGAATATACAAATATATGACCCTGAGAAACCAGCCGTCCGTCTACCTTTACGCGTCCAATACAGTATGATGATGAAACATGTGGATAACTTCGAAATTAAATTAGAACTTAGGTCCTAAAACTAATCGCAAATAGTTATTTATTTAATATACATTATTCATATTATTAACAGGGTCTTACACGAATAATTTCATGGCAAATAAAGGTATTTAGGCTAGTATAACCTAGTCGAAAACCACAGCCCAAACCACTGGACGGATCCGGCTGAAATTTGGCATGCTGTTATGACGTAGGCTAAGAAAGGATTTTGATTAATTCTACCCCCAAAGGGATAAATTAACGCGAGCGAAGCCGCGGGCAAAAGCTAGTTTGTTATTCAAATGTAATAGTTGATTTAAGACTACAATACTTATTTTTATCTAGATACACCATTCTACGCGTCCAATAAAGTATTATTAAGAAACATGTGCATGACTTCGAAATCAAATTAAAACTTAAGTTCTAACGCTAATTCTAGTTACTCTATGAACAAATTAACAGTACATTATTTTATAGGAAAAATATGATTGCATTATACTAAAATCTGTAATAGCTAACATTAAGAGGAAGGGAATTGTTAGCAATGGGAACTAGTAACTCCCACAATGTGTTTCGACCTGGTTAGGTCTGGAAACCATGGTGATGAATTCTTGGTGAATTTGTCACGATGTGCTAACTGACCTGACCTCATGCTCATCTTATCATCCTCCACTGATACCCTGCCAGCGTAAACCGTTAGCGCAGGCAGGTGTACCACTTCATTATCATCCATAAAAAATAATAATGGAAGGTGGTTGTTAGTAATGTGGACTGATAATCCCATTGCTAGCAATCTACTATGTCAAGTTGACCTCCACGCGGTTCCCCCTGGAAACCATCGTGGTAAATTGTAAGTAGCCAAGTTGGGCTAACTGACTTTATGATTATTTTATCAACCAATAGCGCAGGCGGGTTATTCAATTATTCATATCCATAAAAATAACATTAGGAATAAAAAATCTTTAGGTAAAGATATCAGATTTTATGATACAGTCTAAAAAATGTCGTATTTGTATATATATATATATATATATATATGTGGGATTATCGCGTGTGAAACTTGAAGAATAGTCTTATATTATTAAATTATTTATTTTTATATTAAATTCGTCATTACATCGTCTTACGTCGTTCTGTCAACTCCTTCAATTGTATATTTAAAAATAAAACTATAATAAAAATGAATTCCACTTTCCATATATATCGAGACTGCAGTATTGCATCGTACCGTCGTAATAAATAAATATGTAAGACCCCGAGAATTCATGTTCTTCTAGATATAGAATCTAATATATACATTAAAAAGTGAAGCAAAGCAAACACTTGTACACCTATTTAAGAAAATTGCGTCGGCAAAGGAATATAACATATCTCACACGTATAGTTTATATAGAGATGGAGTACACAATGCTATTATTTTTTAATTATGCATAAAAATTACATTACATCAATTAAATAAAACATTACACACTGCTATTTTACGCACACATATTCTCTTTTGTGTATTGTTAAAGTCTTTTATTGAGAACTGATTAACATTGTTTGTGTTTAATATTATTTGTTTATCTTACCTTATAATAAGTACTAATTTTATTGCCGTTTTTTATGCGACACTAATTTTGTTTTTCATTATAATAAATTACATATATTTAGCTTATGTTAGGGGAACAATACGCTTTTATATTAAGGAATACTTTAATAATGAAACTGGAATATAGAATAGAGTAGAGTTGAGTACAGAAAAAATATTTAATTATTATATTAAAGATTATTTAGATTAAATTAAAATAAGTTCTAAACTTTTATTATTATTGTTATTTTCATTTATTTATTTTATTTATATAACTTCAATGCACAAAATACCAAGGTAAATGTACATATAGCGGACTTAACGCCTTACGGCATTTTCTACCAGTCAACCACAGGTTGTGCAGAGAAACTGTAGGCGATGCAAATGTAATGAATAAGAAACATAATATCTATATCATAAATAATATATATTTACTAAAAGTAAGTACATGTCACTCATGTCAAATCACTATAATGAAACTATAATTATAGTTAAAATAAAAATATAAATATATTGTATGTATTTGTATATATATGTACTTACTTTATTATATAATATGAATATAGTATTATTTTTCTAATCATTACATTTGCACCGCCTACAGTTTCTCTGCACAACCTGTGGTTCACTGTATGAACCGTGTGTACCCCTACATAGAGTTCAAAGTGGCTTGATACTAGCTAATACTATATATGGCTTGTTTCCGGATGTCGGGAATCTTGCAGTTCCCTAGCTGAGACGGACAAGTCTATTTAATTCTAGCAGATGTCGTCAACCCCACTCAAGAATTACTTGGATTATAATCCAAGAGGAATTTTATTAGCAATTCTATAATTTTAAAATAAATAAAATTATTTATGTGTGCTATAGTTTAGTTATGTTGTACTACCCTAATTTTTTTATATATTTTTAATTTTTCTACATAATCTTCAAAATTGGTAGAAAAGCATCCTATTACTATATGCTGAACAGGGTACTTTTGCCACCTTTAATTAAGTATCCATGTACACTCGCCGTTGCTATACAAGTACACTTCAAAGTCAGGAAAAATAAAACACTTTATTTTTCGACAAAAATAAAGTATATAAAGGGATCTTAATTACCACAATAAGAAAAACAATATGTACTTTTTTTTTATTCTTTTTTGTTCGGACTACTCTAATACTATTGGCCGCATCTGGCCTTTACAGCTTTACCGGACGTTAGGGGGCGAGTGCAGATGGCACTCCAAACCCGCGGAAGGACTTATGGAGTGGCTGAAGGTCATCTCCTGCCTGACGGATACGACTTTAGTCTGAGGGCACCACCATCATGCCGTCGTAATATAGTAGTTGAATGCCCGATATTGTGTTTGAGGTCGTCGTCTTCGCCGGCGAGGATGGTGTCGTGTGTGTGTGTAAAAGTGTGGTCGGGACATCAAAGGGTTTTAATGTCTAAACTGCTATGACAAGTAGCTATAAACGAAAACATATCGCGTTGTAGAAATTGAACAGCGCCATCTAGTGACAACTATGTAAACTAAATTTACAAAAGACGATTAAACAATCCTTTAAATGTAAATTGATTAGCAGCAATAAATTATTCTATTCTCATAATTGCCCATTACTAATAAAGTATCACGTTAGATCTACCTCCACACAGCCTCCTAGAAACCATCGTGATTTATTCACAGCAAATTCGCCATGATAAGCTAATTGACCTGACTTCATTCTCATTCTGTCTGATCCTCCACTAATGCCATTATTTTCTTCAGCGCATTATATTATTTTTACCATTCACGCGGCTTTATGTGTATATTATTTTATTATTTAGCGTAAGTTTTGTGAGCAAAATTTATAAATACATTTTTTATAATTCAACACTAGCCTAAAATGTTCATTCTTCTACCATCGACTTATTAATTAATAAAAAATTTGTACATAGAAAGCACCAGACCGATACAAACAATCATGAATCATGAATATATTTGTACCGTACGAGAAATCGAACCGGCAGTCATTGGAAGTAAAGCGGTATGCTAAACCGCTAGACCACCGAGGCCGTCGTTTGTGAATACTGCTAATCTCTTAAAAATTGTATAAAATTAACCACACTCTGTATTCTTGTGCTTTATATTTTACTAGCTACCCGCCCCGGCTTTGCTATGGTTTACATATATTATACATATAAACTTTCCACTTGAATCACTTTATCTGTTGCTAAAAACTACATTAAAATCCATTACGTAGTTTAAAAGATCTAAGCGTACAGACAGCGGAAGCGATTCATTTTATACTATATAAAGATGATACTGCATAAATAAACAAAGATTATTTGTATTTGTGAGGAATGAATATTTAATTTTTAATTATAATAATTCGAGAATTAATATTAAATAATTAATTATATAAATTCGATTAAATGAAGAGTTTCAAGACACCTGACTTAGTTCAGATAACTTGTATTTATATTCGTAACGAATAAATATTTAATTATAATTATCAATTATAATAATTCGAGAATAAATATTTAATAATTAATTATAATAATTCGATTAGATGAAGAGTTTCAAGACACCTGACTTAGTTCAGTGGAGTTCAATCAACCCTTCGCTAGTGCTTCCCGATCGGAGCGCACTCCGCTCAGGCGCAGGCAGTTGTGACTTTACCTTAGATCCATTCGTTGGTACAAACTGGTGTTTTATTAGCAAACAAGGTAAGTTCCAGTATATTTATTTATTTTCCATAATTTAGGTTTCAGGTATTATCAAACATCAAAGAAGGTATGTTATAAATTTATTACATTTACTATCTACTCGCCCCGATTTCGCACGGGTGTACATGTATTATACATATAAACTTCCGTCTTCAATCACTCTATCTATTAAAAAAAACCACTTCAAAATCCGTTGCGTAATTTTAAAGATTTAAGCATACGTAGGAACGGACAGACAGCGACAGTGACTTTTTTTTATACTGTGCAGTAATTTTCAATAAATTAGTTTTTAGATATTATTCTCATGAAGTGTTACAAATAATTAATAATAATATTATCATGTACTATGCGAACCTAAAAATATTAATCAATACAAAATTAAACACTATTAAAAACAAATGAATATATATATTATGCAGACTGTGAAGTAGTGAAATGTTAACAATAACTACTACCAAATAAATAACTATATTTTAACACTCTAATATATGTCTACATAAAAAAATATTTCATGCATACATATAAAAAAAATTAAGTATCCGTTTGTTATATCAAATTACATTATAGTTTTTCACAAAATACATGCGAAAGCATAAGTATTACTTACATCAAAACATTTACTCTTATTTTTGTCTATCTGTCTGTCTGTTTCTTCTTTTGACAGCACTTACAGTCGCTTATAGTTAATGTTAAAAGGATAACTTAGTTTTATTTCAGAAATGTTATTTATTTTAATTATTTTCCTATGGTCGCGGGTTCTGTTGTTTGCACAATACATTTTCTTTAATTGGTATGAGTTTTTGTATTGATCTCTATATATAATAAGTGTGTATTTAAAACAATATATTTAAGTATTTATACAGTTATTTACTTTTGAAAGTTGTTTAAGTACGCTTATGTTTGTGATGACAAAGACATTTTTGGACCACACATTCGATTTTTTCTTTGGCATAAAGTATCAATAGAATGTATTCAATCAACAAATCATTTATTCCAATAAACTTAATTTAAGCACTTTTGAATAGTCAACAATTTTTTTAAGTCTATCGCTTATTTGGAAAACTGACTCATCACAAGAAGAATAAGCAAGAAACTTGTGTATTGCTCTTTTAACCAATCCTTGTTTTACAAGTCGAAACGGGTGAATACAAGCTACCAACCAGCACTAATTTATTTAGGCTCAAATATAAAAACATTACAAGATGAAATCAATAATTTTGAAACATAATCTTTATCTATAAATATCTAAACATAAAAAGTTCTAATAATAGTACGTCCTATTTAAGTTACATAATGGAAACCATAGTGTAAACATGTCTAGGTCATTGGAACAAGTAGGCGTCAATTTTGGACCGCGCTCTATAAAATTGAACCGAAACTATCAATTTCCTTATTCTGTTCGCAAAGTAATCACTGTGTACTTTCACCAAACACTATTGTAATGCCATTGAATTTTACTCACTCTATGTATGCTCATTAGATTCATTTTCGTGTTGCAGATGCAGTGCTTCATTTGTGTTACATACATGATAATATTATGCAGTGGTCATCCGGCAAAAGACCGAGAAGTTTCATCTCAACACGAAAAGAGATCCTTATTTCATGACGTCATTGAATCTTTACGAATTCACTCTCAGCTACCTGAAGAAGTGAATCAAAATGAAGAAAATAATCTATCTCAAAACTATCATAGATTCGGTTACGAAGACGAATCTCCTGAAATCGCAATCGATAGAGGTTTTGTGCCAAGACGTAATGATCGTATAGAAATGCCGACAATTAACTATAGATACCCAAAAAGTCTGAATAATGATACAGTTGAGAAGAGCGATAAGCCTAAAGAAGAGTTTGTATTGTATATAGAAACTACAACTGAGGCCAAAACTACTCAGAAAACTAAAAAAACGAATCGTCCTTTTCGACCCAATAATAAAAATAAAGTAGCCAATAAAAATAAACAGAATGAAGAAATAGAAGACGAAATCGAACCAATCAACGATGAGAATCAATCATCTGAAAATTTTCCGTTGAGCAACAACATGTCTGGTCAAAGTCAAATTGGAAATAGAGAGTCCCAAACAGTCGTGAAACCGACCGTTATAATCAATATTAGAGGAACTATATCACACCAAGATGGAGAAATAAAATTAGGAAGTAGAGATAACAATGACACGGTTAATGAACCATCGAAAAACGTATTTCATATCAACCAAGAGATAAATGTAGACCGTGCTAATCGTAATATAAGTAAAAGAAAGGAAGCAAATACAATACGACACGAAGTCAAAATCGTTGGTAAAGTCGAAGATGACATGATGATGTGCGAGACAGGAACATGGAACCCACAAAAGAATCGTGAATCTCGTAAAGTTGACGTTTTACAAATTTTATTATCTGTTTAGTTTATAGAGTAAGAATGAGTATCTTCGTTTATAATTAGATTAAAATAAATAGACATATAAAGTTTATGTTAAACTTTATGGTAAGGATAATTTAGATGTAAAATCGCATTTTATGTGTACTGCAGATAAAATTGATCTTAATCAGAATAAAGATCTTCCACACTGCAATGGATAGTTTTATGAATTTCCATCTTTATAATTTTTGGTTTTATGGATAGACTCAAATAACTTTCATCACTTATAGAAAGCTTACATTAGCAGCGAGTAACAATACTCATAATTCATTTCTAGAAATTAATGACAATTACTTACAAATATGTATAGCACAGCATAATTCTCCAATATCGCGGCTGTAATAGTTTTTAATAATATTACTAACATAGACTTAAAGTGAGGCAATATGAGTTCAAATACATAATACAGATAAAATAATGAATCAACCACCAATATATTATGTAGGTACGTACGTGTATGTAGTTATATTTATATATGTATAATTATTTATTCATATTATGTATTATATTTTATAAGTATATTCGCATATGTATTTATATTTAATCATATCAAAGTGATCTTCTTATTATTTTATTTTTTTTAGATTTGAATTTCAATTTCTTAATGCACCCCCAACATGAATCTCTGTTTGCCCAATGGTTGACTGGGAGAAAATGCCTCAAGGTGTTAAGTCCGCCATGTGTACCTTTATTTATGTATTTGTGCATTAAAGTTTTAATAAATAAATAAATAAATAATATATTAATTATATCCGATATAAAAGCAGCGGTTAAAAAGCAGTTTATGGGCACTACTGTTCTCATTATGTATATTAATGACCAATGCGAGAATAACCATTTTTGGTTTTATATCACAGTACCGTTACTGGCCTGGTAGTCCTACGCTCGAATATACATGACACAGTCTTAATAACATTATCCTTGTTGATATAAAACATTGCTGATGGCCTCGGTGGTACAATGGTTAAGCACATCTTACTTCAGTTGGTCGCAGATTTAGTCTTCGCACGATACAAAAATATATAATTTATCAGTATGATATTGGTTATTTTCAAAATCGTATTCAAATATTTCTATCAGTTCTTTAGTACCAATAGTAACCCTATTTAAACTACGCAATGCTGGATGGAGATGGACTTTAAATAAGCGCTTACAGACCTATATAAACAATATTGGTCTTTGTGTTTTTTATGTATTCTATATAAGAAATTACTATTATTATTATAATTTAGTTTTCTAAGTTTAGAGATAATTTGGACAGTTTTTTAGTATTCTTTGTCTGAGATTAGGTTACCGTCCAGGTATTGTGTGCCTCCATTTTATAGTACCTACTACTCATTACTTTCCGATGTATGTATAAATCGTTAAGTATGAGATTTTTATTGTCGTGAACATGCATGTAATGTTATCTAGTTGTCAACAAGGGTTTACTTCGTTGTTGTTCGTGTATCATAGAACTAACTATCCACCCCGGTTTCGTACAGGTGTAGATATATTATATATATAAACCTTCCTCTTGAATTACTCTGTCTATTAAAAAAAACCGCTACAAAATCAGTTGCGTAGTTTTAAAAATTTAAGCATACATAGGGACGGACAGAAAGAGACAGAGACTTTGTTTTATACTATGTAATGGAAAATTTCTATTTTCCTATGAAATATTTATTGTAACCCGAATACTGGGAAATAGCAAGAGCTTTGGTAAGAATTGGTTTATCAAAAACAGTATTTGCGCCCATCTGCAAAACAAAGTATAAAGAATTACCCAATTCTAATATTATTACCCTTACCATGGTTTTACTCTATTATTATATTTAGACCATGGTTATATAATGGAGAACTCATACAGAAAAGTATGCTATATGCTTCAGGTAGTGGTGAAGTAGGTATTTTGAAATGGACAAAACATTACAAATTTTGGTTAAAATACCAATCTTCATCATGTGACACTTATCTCTTTTATTCCCTAATACTAAAATATCATCATCATCATTGCCTTGCCTTTATCCCATTATTTGTTCATTCTCTTCCACTGCTCTCTATCGATCGTCATATCTGAACATACTTTTCTTTTTATTCATATCATCTTTCACACAATCCAATCCATCTTTTCTTAGGGCGTCCCCTCCCTTTACATCCATCCACATTCATATTACACACTTTCCATAAGACATGGTCCTCGTTCCTCCGCATAACTTGCCCTAATACTAAAATATGTATATGGAAAGTTGTCTTTCGCCATCTCAGATAGATACAGGTAGTAATGAATTTAAATATGATAGACAACTCCTACAGAAAATTTGCTATATCCTTCACCGTTTCTAATAGGTATTTTGGTTTGGACAAAAACATTACAAATTTTGGTTAATATACTAGAGTTCATCATGATAACACTCATTTCTTTTACCCTCTAAAACAAAAATATGTATATAAAATTATCTTTCACCATCTCAAATAGGTACAGGTAATACTTGAGTTGGAAAAAAACATTACAAATTATTGCTAAAATACCAAACTTTATCATACCTATGGCAACATATGTTTTTATCATCTAAAACAGAGTTTTTTTTTAAACTATTTGTAGATTATCGTCCGTCGTCTTGTTGATACTAATAAGGCCTGACGTGTGGGTGGTCATTTAAAAACGATAGTACAACGGTAAAACAATAAAACTCCGTAAAGTGCTAATTGGGACTATATCCGTTCACGCAGTGTTCAGAATAATAAAATCATGTCTGTACATCAAGAGTATTGATTATGTGAAATAACCCATAATTATGGGCATACATTTTGTTCTGCAAAAAACCGCCTGACCACCCATCTACATAAAATTTATACAGTTGTAGCCCGCGAGTTTGTCCGCATAATCTTTCATACTTCATCCTTCCAGACTAATTTTAAAAATTATATCTTATATATAAAATTCTCGTCACAGTTTTCGTTCCCATACTCCTCCGAAACGGCTTGACCGATTCTCATGAAATTTTGTGAGCGTATTGAGTAGGTCTGAGAATCGGCCAACATCTATTTTTCATCCCCCTAAATGGTAGGGGTAATCCACCCCTATTTTTTTTTTTATTTTAAGGCAATACAACGTTTGCCGGGACAGCTAGTTATATATAAAATTCTCGCGTCACAATGTTAGTTACCATAGTCCTCCGAAACAGATTTACCGATTTTTCTGAAATTTTATATGCAGATAGATAGATAGAGAAGGTCTGAGAATATATGGCTGCTATTTTTCATAGCCCTAAGTGATAAGGGTTGTCGACCCTTAACATTTTTAATTTTTTGTCAAAATTTATATATTTTATTTTTTTATAATTAAAAATAAATTTGACCTAAATTTTCATCCTTCTATCACCAACCCCTATTTTTTGAAATCGATTTTAATTTATAAGGCAAAACAATGTTTCGGTCATTGGTTATAACATTCTGAGAAGAACTGGCAAGAAAATTAACTGGAACTTCATATCAAATATATTGTGCCGTGCAGATAAACCCGTAGAAAAAGCTGGTTTTACAGAATAAAAGAAATTGTCTTATGTATATATATGTCGATTGTGGGTCAGGACAGACAGACAGAAAGGTACAGTATTAACTTAATTGTATCATGGAAAGTTGATTTCGGCTACATTCGAGGGAACGGAAAGGAGATCATCCTTTCACAACGACCTAAATGTGTTTATTAAATTGTCAATTAAATTAAATGAAATAATTTTTTGTGCGATCTACTTTGATTTTTTAATCATACTCAATTCAAAATACCTTTATTCATGTAGGACTATTACAGACAGTTTTGATATGTCAAATCTACCGTCAGTTCGGAATGATTTCGAGATGAGAAGTACTGATATGAAACTCAGCTCGCATTCTTTTCAAATAAATGTTGTACATGTTTACAATAATACAGATTCATTTTTAAATTCAAACTTGAATGAATTGAGTGACCATCAGCATATGCTATTGCAAAAGCAAAGGTCTAATCAGTGTTCGTAACCCGAACAGACCAGTCCCCAACAGCAGCACCCGTTCACGAGTATGACGGATGAGCCAGCCATCCGGCCCACCACGCCGCCACAAGTTTGAACTTTATAGCGAGCATGACTGTTTTAAGTTCCTCCACTACGTCATTTAAAGTATTTACAGCAATCACAGTTTTCCCACTCATGAATACAAGGGTTTGCACCGAGCGAGGAATCGAATAATCGGATAGAAGATAGGAGACACCAGGTGGTGTGCTAAACTCGACTGCTGAGGCCGTTAATAAGTAAGTAATTCATCAACAAACCATCAGTATAAAATGCTGTAAGTATAAAGTGCTACAAAAACTGGAAATAAATGTTGACGAAAGATCCACGTCATAGGACATATGGTATAAAACAATACAATGTCAGCCTCCTCGTATACCCTGGTTCACACTCACAAAGATCAATAGACAGTCCATTGTTACTGCGAATTAACAACTTTCCGGACACATTCCATTAAATAAATTTGCTTATTTGACAGCCTCGGTGGTCTAGCGGATTAGCACACCGCTTTACTTCCGATGGTCGCAGGTCCGATTCCTTGCACCGTGCAAATATTTGTATTCATGAGTATGATTCTTTATATCGGTTTGGGTGTATGCTGTGTATTATATGTGTATTTTCAAAACAAAATATCTAAGTATTTATATAAATAGTCTAGTACCCATAACACAAGCTCTGCTTACCATGGGCCTAGATGGCGCTGTGATCATTGTCCAGGGTTATTTATTTAATGACAAAACTGAGTTCCCTAATTGTGAAGCTTGTGGGAAAGAAGATCTGTATCATATTTTGATGGAATGTGTTCGCAATGCATCTAAAAGAGAATATATCATCTAAGCTCTACAGTTAAATAGGTTAGACATAGGAGTATTCCATGAAATATTGGCAGAGCCAGCATCCGATGCAGACAAGTTAGTGGTATCAAATTATTTTAAGTTTTTTACGTTTATTTTTTTGTTATTTAGTATAGGTACGATAGTATTATGATCAT